TCTAAGCCCCTCCGTTGTGGCTCAGTCTGAAAGCTTGCCTGGGCTGCATCTAAACAACGAATGTAAACTGATCACTCAAATCAGAGCTGTTTCTCACAGGAGTATAATCCCACCCCATCCTCTTTTGTTTTCTGAAATAGTCTTCCAGTATGAAGCTGCTTGTACTGCTAGTGTGGGACCACTGACCAGTGAGCCAGAATCAAGGCTCTCCTTCCTCTAGGCATACCTCTGAGGTATATATACCTGAAGTCACTAAGCACCTTGGTTTCCAAGCCCTACGTTTTGTCTAGTCTCATGGCCTGCTTGCAGGCTGCTTAAAGGTAGCAATGCAATCTGTTTCCCTGAGTCCTTTAGTCTAGAGAAGGAGTCACACCTTCGAGCAGCACCTTGTGCTCTCTGTCATCTGGGGTAAAAGGTTTTCTTTTCGGATGCTGACCTATCACACTGGGGATGACACTGTTACCAAATCCCCATGCTGGAAGAGAGAGAGAGAGAGAGAGAGAGAGAGAGAGAGAGAGAGAGAGAGAGAGTGTGTGGATTTGTCCCATAGCTAGGTTTGCCCGTCTGTTCTAAAGACTTCTAGGCTTCCCTGGTGGCAGAGGCTTCAGCTTCTTTTCTACCCCACGAGCATTTGGACTGGAGCTGTAAACTGTTCCTTAATTTTCTCCATCTACATTACCCCTTTGTAAGAAGACTGCAGCCAGGCAGACATATAAAGCAAGTAACAATCAGGAGACAGTAGTAAGATGTGTTCTTGGAGAAGGAAGGGTTTATTATATACAGGTTGAAAATTCACCTGTTTTGCCACAGGTTTCACCTATCCTCTCCCCCTACTCTCCTCCCCCACTCCCGGGGCTGGTATAAAAACTTGAACTCAGGGTCTCTTGCTTTTCCTTAGTTTTTGTTTTTTGTTTGTTTTTTTGCTCAAAGACGATGTTTTAACACTTGAACCATCCACTTCTGGCTCTTTTCTCCTTCCTTCCTTCCTTCTTTCCTTCTTTCTTTCTTTCTTTCTTTCTTTCTTTCTTTCTTTCTTTCTTTCTTTCTTTCTTTCTTTCTTTCTTTCTTTCCTCTCTCTTCTTTCTTTTTGGTTAAATGGAGATGAACATTAAACTGAGGGTCACATGGAGCAAGTCAAATACATGAGAACATTCTGATTATGAAAGAGGTATACCATGACTAGAAACCTATCTGACAACATCCCAGCTATTGAGCATGGAGTGAGAAATAACTAAAAACAATAGCTACTGAATGATAAAAACTACATGCTTATTTCAGGGTTCTTATTTGAAAATACTGGAAACTAACTCTGAGTCATAATGTAGAGCAATTTGTTAAACAATAGAGACAAAGTGGTTAATGGCTCAACTTCTCAAGAATCAGGTGTAAAGCAAGATCTAAGCTGCTGAGGGGTCATGGACTTTACTTCAACTGTTACTAGCCCAGCAACAATATCGCCCCTCACTCTGACCTCCAGAATCCTCCACCCTCAATTTCAAGCATGACTTGAGCATAATGTCTGCTTGTTCAGTCTACATTCAGGGTTTCCTGAAAACAAACAGGAGTGGTATGTTCTAGGTCACAAAGCTCCTGCTGTACCTACTCTTGAGATTGAAAAAGTTAATTTTCTAGCTTATTTTTAGGAGGTAGAAATCATTAGCTGACATAAGAAAGTTGTGGATAAGGTTTAAAAGAGTGAGAACACAATACATAGTTACCACAAAATGTGATGCATTGGGCATACAAAACTCATTTAAAATTCACCCATGTCTGTTATTACTTAACTTCTTTCCAATGGATATTAGTAAAATCACACAGTATGCAAGATGAATAGAATCTTAGGAGTTCTTTTGGCCTAATCTTCTCATTTCACTGAGAAATCCATTTCCAAAATAGTTTACCAAATTTACATAACCTACTTACTGGAAAGAACTCAGTTTTTAACTCTTAATATATTTTTTTGTCATCCAATGCACAAAAGAAGCATAACTCAAACTATATCTTAAAGTTAAAACTGTAGTCACTCTTAGCAGAATACATTGTTTAGTTCTCAGAAAGTTATTTTCGTGATACTGACTTTATATTTCTCAGTTCTATTCACCAATAAGTCCCTAAAAAACTTGCTATGCAACTAAATTTTTATTCATAATTCAAATTTTCTATTATCATCCATGAAAATAAAAGTATAAGTATACATCAAATGTAATTTCTATATTCTCTGATTTGATTCAAACTTTCCCTTGATAAAAGGCTAATATTCTTGCAACAACAAAAGTAGTTATTTAAAAAAAACCACGAGAGTACATGTTAAGACATGAAGATACCTGGTTTTTGAAGTGAATGTATTTCTTACAAAATGAGAGAAAAATAAAGTAAAAAAAAAAATAGTCAAACAAGCCAGGTGCCTGTGGCTCACGCCTGTAATTCTAGCTACTCAGGAGGCTGAGATCTGAGGATCATGATTCAAAGCCAGCCTAGGCAGGAAAGTCTGTGAAGCTCTTACCTCCAATAAACCACTAGAAAACCAGACATGGCTCTGTTGCTCAGGAGGTAGAACGCTCGCCTTGAACTGAAGAACTGAGGGACAGCGCCCAGGCACAGAGTTCAAGCCCCATGGCCAACAACAACAACAAAAAAGTCAAATTATAATAATGAGATTTCTCCATGAAGTTAATATTAAAACTTAAGCAAAGAAAACATTCAACACTATAGCATCTACAGAAAATATACATGTATGTACATATATAATATGGAGATATACTGCATGTTTTTGTATACATATACACAAACAACACAAACATGTACATATATGCATATATATGCACACATATCATATACATTTATGACATTTATGTATGTATACACATAGTTTTTTTGGTGCTGGTCCTGGGGACTGAATTCAGGGCCTGGGTGCTGTTCCTGAACATTTTTTGCTCAAGGCTCTACCACTAGAGCCACAGTTCTTCTGGCTGGCTTTTTTTGATGTTTAATTGGAGATAAGAGTCCCATGGTCTTTACTGCACATTCTGGCTTCAAACTGTGATTCTTGGACCTCAAGCCTCCTGAGTAGCTAGGATTACATGTATGAGCCACTAGTGTCTGGTATGTATATAGTTTTTTTGTACCATAGTTTGAACGCAGAGTCTCAATACATCTCCAGCCCTTTCTTCATTTTATTTTGAGACAAAATTTCACTAAGTTGCCCAAACTAGGCTTGAACTGACTATGTAGCCCACTCTGGCCTCAAATTTTATATTATAGATGTGAGGATTATAGGTATGAGCAATCACACCTGGCTAGAAAATACACATACACTATTAATACTATATGTGCATGAACAGACTCATTAGACATAAAATTATGAAAGTTAACCTCACAATTATGGTGTGCTGAGTCTTATAGTATGAGTAAGTTGGAGAAAAATGCATAGCAAGGGAAAAGAAAAACTAAACAGCTACAGAATTTGAAATTTCTCTGCATCACTGCAGAGAAAACATTTGTTTTTTCTTTTTCTTGTTTTTAATCCAGAATGCAAGAATGGTTCATTATTTAAAACGATCAGTTTATGCTGAACCCAAATGATCACTTATAAAATGTAACAACATATCATACTGTACTCCATAAATAGGTATAATTATTATGTGCTAATAAAAAATAAGTTTAGAAAGTCAATGTACTTGACTTCATTAACTTAAAAAAAGAGAAAACCATCTAATTATTTCAGTAGATAAATGTCTACTTCTTTTAAATCTCAACAAATTAGGATGTATTATTTATTTTTTATTTCTTACTCATTGATTTTGGTGGTACTGGGGTTTTGAACTCAGTTTCATGCTTCCTCAGGTAATCTATAGCTTAAGACATTATTCTATCCTTTTGTGTTCTGGTTATTTTCTGGGTATGTGTACCAGTACTGAGGCTTGAACTCAGGACCTCAAGCTCTACTCAGCTTTTTCACTCATGACTGGAGCTCTACCACTTGAGCCACATCTCTAGTTGGGCTCTTTGCTACTAAATTAGAGATGAGAGTCTGACAGACTTTTCTACATTGGCTGGCTCTAAGCTCATATTGTTGTTCTCTGTAGGTAATAAATCTTTTTCTTTATGGCTTTCAAGATTTTTCTCTTCACTTTTTAGCTTTTCAATACTTTCATTATGGTATGTGTGTTTGTGTGTGTCTGTTTACTGTGATTAGTTTTTTATTTTAACTTTAAAAATTAATATTTTTTAGCAGTATGAGGAGTTTATTCTTGAGATACCAATTTCTAAGAGCAAAATATGGACATGCTTATTCAGATTTAAACACTGTCCTAGAAGCAAGAGTATCATGAGTTGCAGGCCAGCCTGGTATATAGTGACAACCTTGTCTCCAACTGGGGAAGAAAGGATAGAAAGTATAATAATGTCTGATTTTCTTCATTTAAATAATTTTATGGTAGTGAAAGATAACCAATCATGATCTAGGCAGCAGTATACAGCCAATAACACAAAATACTTTCTGTAATATAGAAAATAAGATAGGGGACTAAGATCAATCTTAATACCACCTAGTATTTCGTTGGTTTGTTTTTCTGCATGGAATTGAACTCAGTGCCTTACACTTGCTAGGCCTGGGCTCTATCACTCGAGCTGTAACCTCAGCTTGTACAACCTAGTTTTAACCTGAAAGAAAACAATAAATTCTATAATAGTTGATATAATAGATGATATAACAATCAACTACTTAGTATATAGTCAACAAAGAAACAGACATGTAAGATACTAGACTAGAAGTCTGTGAAGAAAAAAATAAAATAATAAAATAAATCATGTACCATCTTCAAGGGTAACTTTTATAGGAAAAAAATCACCTACCTATTCAAGACTTAAAATTTTTGTAAAGATATGTTCGCTTTGTAAGTAATATAAAGTTGTTGGGTTGATTATGGGTTATTTTTACATTGTATGTAATATATACCATGAACATAAACTGTATCCAGGTCATTTGATGAGATACTCACAGAATGATTGCAAGAAGGTTCCAGTATTACAGGTAATGACATTTTCCCTTGAAGATTCAATTTTGTTAAATAAAAAATCTTTTCCCCCACAATCTTTTCCTTTTTCATGCGGTGTACACCATACAGTCTAAACCGAACTGCATAATTTCCAATCATCTCAGATTCAACATGATTGAATTTGAATGTTTCTGTGAAGACTGGGCAAGGTCCTCTCTGGATGCTGGTTTTTGCTCTCTGTTTCTTTATAGGTAGAAGAACAAGGTGTACTTGCCATGAGTTGCCACCTGTCCTGTTATATGTTGGGATGTCTGTGACAGCTGTCACTGTTACCAGAAGCTTCTGTTCTTGTGAGTCATAGTCAAAAGTCACATCCAGTGTGCCATATTTAGCTTCTGGCTCAGGATCAAAAGGTTTAGGAAGCTGTGAAGAGGATCCTTGAGCTGACATGTCCTAAAAAAAGCAAATTTAAATGTTTTCAGTTTTTAACTCTATTACTGACTCTACCATGTAAATAAATGACTGATATTTCTTCAGTGTATGATATGAAAATAATTTTCCTTTGCTATCACAATGAAAGTGTAATAATTAGTACTCAGCTACAATGACAGACTACCCTGTTGGACTAGATTAGTGTCATCAGTAAGTAAAACTAAAATCTTAGTACAATAAAGACACACTTAGAATGTAATATTCCCTATCATAATTTTTAGGATATTAAATATGTTTTCATAAATGATAAACAAAAATATACCTTAACGTATATTTGTTTTTTTTAAGTAGAAGACCACCAAGTTTTACTTGAGACATAATCAGTAGATACAACTAGCAACTCAACATTAGGCAAGAAAGGAAGAGCATGTAAAACACAATGGCAGAGAAAACTTGGATTCCATTTTCAGTGCTTGTTCTAAAATATGTATCTCTAAAACAATACAAATTTATCTCAACTTAAAAATCAATGGAAATGTAAAATATGAAAGCATAATCACAAAGGCCCTTAAATATTTCTGCAGCCAAGTATTTTTCTCCAGACCATAGACCATAGTTACTTCGATTCTTAGCTGGAATTAAAAAACAAGGTATGATATTCTAATACTAATTTCCAAAATTGAAAAAAGCTAGAAACTGCGCCCATTTTTCTACAATTGTCCCAAATTCCTGCCAGTCTATCTAGAATATACTGGGAGTTTCATCATTCTTAAAAAAGGTATAAAAAAACAGTCCTTTCTCTTTCACAGAGTTTGGATCAAAGTTTTATGAAACCGTTAGTTGGTAAGAGGTCATCAAGAGTTATGGATGCCTCCTATGAATTCTTCTGAGCCCTTTCTTGACTATCAGTTGGATCCTGTATGTTGATAGGCTCTATGGTAGCAAAAGCCTGGGTTAAACCAAGAAAAATACAAATTTTCTATTTGATGCATAATGTCGAAGACAGGGATGCAAAATAAACTGGAAAAAACAAGAGTGAATTTATTACTAGCTCAGGCTATCAGAATTCCACATCTAAATATTCATACAATATGCATTTTCCATATATATATATATTTTTTTTTTGTTGTTGTTGTTGTTGTTGTTGGTCATGTGGCCTGAACTCTGGGCCTGGGCACTGTTCCTCAGCTCTTCAGCTCAAGGCTAGCGCTCTACCACTTGAGCCACAGCGCCACTTCTGGCTTTTTCTGCTTATGCGGTTCTGAGGAATCAAACCCAGGGCCTCATGCAAGCAAGGCAAACATTCTACCACTGAACCACCTTCCCAGCCCAGCATTTTCCATATTCTTTTAATTCATCCAATGATGGTATAAGACACACAACAACAAATAGAATGAAAGGAATTCTAAAGAAGTATTAATGCAGATAACAAGTTAGCAGCTTCTGAAATAAGGGGAAAATAGAGTTGACTATTGAGGTAGGTCAAGTAGCTTGTGAGACATAGGCAGAACACAGTAACTAAGCTGACAACTTAGAAAATGTGTCAAAGGTAGAAAAACTTCAGAGAATAGATGGCATGAATGGTACCTACAGTTATGGATGGAAAGCCCAAGCCATGATCATGTGGCCTCTGGGTTGATGGCTTCTTTCTCCAGGTGTTCAACTTAGGAAATGCAGATAAAAGCCTATATCTGTTTAGCAGGCTAACAGGCAAATCTCAGTGGTAGCCATGTGTATTTGCTGCTGCATCTCTCCCATAAAATGAATGAGTCTCTAGGTACCCTTAGTCAAATCTTAACTCTGACCTTGCTACCAACAATAAATAAGAATTCTGATGGAACAGAAACAGAAAGACTGGTATATGGACACAGAAGCAGCTACAACTCACCTAGTGTGAGCTTTCTATCCACACCTGCTTACATTCTGTTCTAGATGTGGTAATCTACATTATCTTGCTCTTATTTCTTGCTGTGTACCCTGAACAGATGAACACATGTGTGTATGTTCGCATGTATGCATGCACACTCATTCATGTGCTTTGAGCATTTCAATTTGGTCTGTGGGCCCTCTGGGAGAGCCTGATTTATGGTATTTTTTTTTCTTACAGTTAGACAGACCTGCATGTTTGAATCACAGTTCTATTTAAGAGATGCTTATACTTGGGGAAATTGCTTCTGAGTCTTAATTTTTCATTTGTAAAAAGGAAACAATACTTCTTATAAACATGATTGGTAGAATTAAGTGGACTAGCTAAAGCTCATAGGAAAATTTCCAGCACAACTCATGACAACTGCTGTTGTTAATTCTACAATTCATGCTTCATTGTTAATTTACTGTCAACCTATACAGCAAAACCATAAAGCAAAGATCTCAAATTTATTTAACTGAAAGAGCACAAAGAAGCATTGGTCATGGAAATCCATAACATACTGATATGCAAACAGGTATTAAATATATATTGATAGGTATCCATTTAGAATTTTTTAGCTACTGTCATACTAGAAATATTAGGTAAGTAGTAACAGGTACAAAAGTACTTTTCAAAATTATAGAAGAACTTCCTCCATTAAGGCAAGCCTATCTGCACCTTAATTGTTCTTCGAATTGAGAAACTATCTTCATTATGTACTTCTGACTGCTGATTGGAAAATCCACCTAGTAAGAATGCAGATATGCTATGGTATGAATCAATGTTTTCAGGAAGTTGTAAAAACTTGTCATCTAAATTAGTATGTGGAAAGCAAATCCTAAAAATAAGTAACTGTTTTAGGAAAACATTTTTCAATATTTTCATCACTATAAGAAGATTAAAACATGACAATGTTTTTAAAAAATTAAAAATATGACAATACTCTGACATGGTAGCAATTATATTTATTGTCATTTTTATATTTTTGCTCGAAAATAGCACTTAACCTCAGCTAACTACTGATGCATGATAACATAAACTCAAATTTCATCAGTAAAAATGATCAGCATTTTCCCTTCTCATTTTCTATAACATTAAAATGGGACTATTTTGAAAGGCCCATGAAACATTAATGAGTACTCTCTTAACACTAAAAAAATCCAAAAAAATTATAAAAAAATACAAATAGTAATCTCAAGATGAATGAAAAAAGATAATTTTAGAACACTGTATAGAAAGTGTTTTTTTAAAAATAGATAGCAACCCATCATTAGCTACTCATCATTCCTTGGTGGAAAAGAAGAGCTGAAAATTAGCTGGGACAGCCCTGGTAAGTTGGTTGGATAATAGCTGCATTAAGGAACTGGTACCATAAGCTACAAAGGGATAAGATGACACCCATTCTTCTCACTAAGAGAAGAAGCACTGGATTTTTTTTTATCCTCCACATCACAATCATTTTCAACCTTCTGTATGCTTTTACTTACTTCTGGGCTCAGGACTGCAGTGCTGTCACTTGGAACATCTTCTTCGTATCCTTTATTATGATAACTTTCTATTTCATGACCTGTGCTTCCTTCACTTGGGCACTTGTTGTATGAGCATCTTGGACTGTTGTTGCAGTGGGAAAATTCACATTTACTGTCCCCAATTTCTGAGGGTGTACATGAGAGATGGGGAGAACCACTGTCATCCTGATAGGGTGGTGGCTGCAGTTCATCCAGTGGGGGCGTTCTTCTCATCCTCTGAATGCAGTTTCCTGATAATAGTTAAGAATCGGGTCACTGTTTCCAACTAGCCTCAACATACAGAACAGTGCACAATAATTACAAAGAAGTTCAAAAATGATTAAAAATTGTGTGGCAATGTAGCTGTTGGCTCTACTACATGAATTTTCTTCTCACCTACTTCAGGTGCAGAAATAAAATAATCTGGTTCTCCTCTCCTCTCCTGTGTGGTAAGATCAGGAAAAATAAGTCATATTAAGAGAGATTCTGTAAAATACCATTAAAGTAAGTTTTAAGCCGAGCGCTGGTGGCTCACGCTTGTAATCCTAGCTACTCAGGAGGCTGAGATCTAAGGATCATGGTTCAAAGCCAGCCTGGGCAGGAAAGTCCGTGAGGCTCTTACCTCCAATAAACCACTAGAAAACCGGACGTAGCACTGTGGCTCAAGTGGTAGAGCGCTCGCCTTGAGCTGAAGAGCTGAGGGACAGCGCCCAGGCCCAGAGTTCAAGCTCCATGACCGACAAAGAAAAAAGAAGCTAAGCTAAAAAAAACAACTTCTAGTTGCATATGCAAATGTTTTAAAGTTCAGTCTCAACTGACACAGCTTCTAAAGCATTAATATCTTCCTCTAAGGATGCAAATTTAATCAACCATTGAATTAAGCTAAGTGATGATATGTAATACTTACTGGACCATGAAGTCAATTCATAGTTTCCCAATGCAGTGGGAAATTTGTCCTTCACTTTTGTTCTAAGAAGAGAGGGTGATTTCTCCCAGAAATCTCAGCATATTGCTCATAGATCTTACCAGACAAAAGTGAGTATATCTATTACTAACCCTTCACTGGCAGGAGAAATGGGATTATCATAACTGGCTTAGGAATTTGAAGGCTAGCTTCACTTTCATACCAATATAGAAAAGAATAGACACCTGAACAGTGTAGAAGCCAGCAAGGAACAAAACAGAGAGAAGATCATGACTAGGAAATGAACATAATGGTGTATATACCTTCTTTACACTCCAGTTTGCCAACTGGATCTCAGTTTTCATTTTGTTTACAATATATTTTTCCTCTGTGGCTCCCCCTCCCCCACCTCGACTTCAAAACAAAATTTCCTTTTGCTTGATCAAGATGGTATAATTTTGTTTAGCTTATGTTTTCATTTTATCGTGGCCTTCCTGCCCATCAACTAGTACTTTATTACAACTAAACTCTAGTCATCTGGCTTTTGTTTAGATTTATTGTTACTCTTACTCCAAAGACCAAGGCACAAATTAATTATACAAGGATGTTTGTGATATCAAAAGACTCCAGCTATGCTCAATGGGTAGATTTTGATACTGTTTTCTAGGTTTGTCCAAGTGAATTGGAATGTATAACTTACCATGATAAGTCTTCAAAATACAATGCTATCGTGACATCTTTATGATTGTATTTCACTTTTCACAGTGAAGAACAGGCAAATGTGTACAGAATTAAAAATTCATTAAAATACATGATCATAAGGATTTCTCCTTTTAAACATTTGCAGTAATTTATTTTTGTTCTATTTGGCAACTATTTTGTGCTATCTACCTAGTATAATAACTAAGAATTGACTTAAATTTAATTAACATTGGAAAAATTTTAAGACAAGTTCATAAAGTAACATGATCTATTTTATAGTTTAAATACACAGAAAACATTAACATTAAGAAGAAATTTCTAAGAAGACTAACAAATACCAAAATAACAACACCTTCTAATTACCTTAGTTCTTGATTTACTATTTAATTAAATGATATACTCTTTTATGATATAAAAGATTTCAGCATGAATACGCCTATAGCATCAATTTACTATCTTCCTACTACACAGCACCTAAAAGAACACAAAGTGTTTTCTTACCCTAGGAAAGATAACATGCATACACACATAGACCAGGACCTATAGTCCTTAATCCTAACATCTTAAGTAGTAGTTAAGAACTACAAGGAATGAGTGTTCAACATCTACTCAATTAGTTTTTAATACATGTGAAAATTTGCTAAAACTTTCTAAAATACACGGGGTAATAAATTAAGGTTCAGCATATTTTATAAAGTTAGAAGTGTAAACATGGAATCTGACTGCTGTGGAATTAAACCAGAAATCAGAAAGAAAAACAGAGAATTGCTAGAAAACTAAATAACTGGAAATAAAATGTACTCCAAATGATCCATGGATCAAAGAAAAAAATAAGAATTGAAATTAGAAATACACTAAAGAGGCCAGGTACCAGTGGCTCATGCGTGTAATCCTAGCTTTTCAAAAGGCTGAGACTGAGATCTGAGGATCCAGGTTCAAAGCTAGCCCGAGCAGGAAAGTCTGTGAGACTTTTTATCTCCAATAAATTACCAAAAAAAACAAAAAAAAGCCAGAAGTAGAGCTTTGGCTAAAGTAGTAAAGCAAAGCACTAGCCTTGAGCAAAACAAGCTCAGAGACAATGCCCAGGCCCCAAGCCCCAAGTTCAAGCCCTAGAACCAGCAGAAAAAAATAAAAAGAGATGTCTTCCCTTCTCTTACTCTCTCTCAGTCCGTCTCCCCTGTCTTTACCCACGAGTTGTATAGTTCACTTGCATTAGTGTCCAGTGAGCTTTACTAATGGGATTGGGAGAGAGTGAGGGAAGGGATGACACTACTCATTACCTGACTCATGGTTGTGGTGTACATGAGACATGTTCAAACAATGATGGAGACAATTTACCTAGACAAACAAACCAGCCTGAGATGGGCCCCACTAGCCAAATCCCACTAACAATTTGAATTTCCAAGTAAATAACTGCAGTAATGGATTATGACTCATTGAATAAAAAAGGAAACCAGGGATTTACATAGATACAAGGAAGCATATGAGTACATTGAAGGATTTTTAAGAAACCAGAAATGTATATAGCTACAAAGAATCTTTTTATACATTATTTATTGGTTACACAGGGTCATTTTACAGAATTGAAAACTGGTTGGTATCATCTTAATGAATAGATCAAAATGAGTATTATAATGTGTCCCACCTGCTAAGATATAATGAAAGAAATATACTTCACAAAATATAGAGAATGCTCTACAAAACAGTTATACAAGCTATCAAAATGGTCCCCAGAAGAAGTATAAAAGTTATGTAATCTAATTACTACAGAAAATAAACAATATTAAAAAAGTTCCCCCAAAGGAAAATTCCAGGCCAAGATGGCGTCATCTATGAATTTATCAAAAGGTTACCACTTGCACAAACCAAAAAGATATTTCTTACATTATTTTATAGTATAAGTGTAACTCTGAAACCAGGATTCCAAAGTGAAGAAGAAGAGAAAGAAGAGGAAGGAGGAGGAGGAAAAGAAGGAGGTAGCTCATGTCTATAATCTTAGCTACTAAGGAGGTTGAGATCTAAGGATAGAGGTTCCAAGTCAGTGTGGAAAAGAAAGTCTGAAAACCTTATCTCCAATTAAGCACAAGAAAAAAAGAACTGTGGCTTAAAGTATAGAGCACTAATCTTGAGCAAAAAGAGACTCAGGGACAGTGCTTAGGCCCTGAATTCAAGCCCTGTAACTACCCCCCCCCCAAAAAAAAAGTGAACATAGACACAAACACTCTAATCAAAATACTGGTCAACTAAACCCAGGGTTATATATACAGGGCACTGCATTATAACTAACTTGGATGTATTCTAGGAGTGCTGGCTTATTTTAGGTAGAGTTAACATTTAAAATTTATTTTATACTCTCATTGCACTGACAGAATAAGAGATAAAAGTATCATGGTAATTCTAATAATAGTTTTTGAAAAAGCATTTAATGCCAGGTGCCAATGGCTCACACTTGTAACACCAGCTACTCAGGAGCTTGAAAATATGAGGATCAAGATCCAAAGCCAGGCCAGCAGGGAAGTCTGTGAGATTCGTATCTCCAATGAACCACCAAAAATTTGGAAATGGAACTGTGGCTCAAAGTGGTAGCGCACTTGTTTTGAGTACAAAAGCTTGGAGAAAGTGCCCAGGTTCTGAGTTCAAGCCCCAGGACACACAGACACATGGACAGACAGACAGACAGACAGACACACACACACACACACACACACACAAGCCCATACAGGCATTTGATAAAAATCATGACATGCTGATGATGAAATATCTGAACAAATTAAGAATAGAAGGTAATTTCCTTTATTTTAAAGAGTATATGGTTGTCCTACAGCAAACATACTTAATGGTGAAATGTTGAAAGTTTAACTCTGAGCTGGAGAATGAGAACAGGTGTCTCTATCACCACTTTTATTCAACAATGTACTGGAGGACCTAACCAGTGCAATAAGGTAAAGAAAGGCGATGCAAACTGAAGTACAACTGTCATTACTCTCTGATAATGAGTGTGATGTAGAAAACCAAAAATAATTTAGAAATAATCTATTAGAATAAACTCAGCAAAGGCCCAGGAAATGAGGTTATTGTTTTACTAAGCAGTTGAATTTCTACACACATGCAACAAACAGAAAGTAAAATTTAAAAAGAAACCCACATATAATATCAGATAATACCAAATAAGAATTAGCTTGCTATTTTTTTTCCAGCTCTTGTTTAGAATGTGTACTACTGGCAATTAGTGGACTCTAAACTTGTAACCCAAAGGAAAAGCAGAGATGTCAGAATTACAGGTTTGGTATGTATATGCTTTCCCCAGGTTGGTCACTGTAAAAATTAATGGGTTTGAAAAATGGTGGCAGATTATCATAAGCTTAATTAGAAGATGACTTCAACTGCAGTTGCCACTCCAGATGGCGCATTCTGATTGAGCAAATTAAGACATTCTTGGTGTTTAATACTCAGTATTAGTTAGCAAGTGGTTTGGGTTTTTTTCTTTTTCCTTCGTAACAATCCAAAGAGAACAAAAGTTAGCAGGCTGTCTTCAATCTGGTAAATCCAGTAACACCTCTACTTTCTTGCTTCAGGAAAGCAAAAGTATTCTGGCTCTATACTACACTCTGTTGCGCAGAGACCTTTGATTCCTCATCATTCCCT